GTTGCCACAATATCCTTCCCCAACAAATATAATGAAAGTAAATAACATATCAAAATCATATCATCTTAATATAATTAATGATGATTTCGTCTCTAATTCCATTCTTACTTTCAAATGCAAAATTGTAAATGCAGAACTTTCAAAATTTTAAATGAATTTTAATTCAACAAATAACTAGTAATTTCAAACATATAATACACAACTAAACTAAGATTAATGACCAAAAACACCATATATAATGACAAGTATGAATTGTATACAAGTAAATATATCACATAAATGGGTTTTACATTTGTCATGTTGCATGACAAATGCAAAGTTTCCTACACATACATCGATATTTGTGCTGCAATTTCTTTCCTTTTCTTTTTATTTTAATCATGGTGGACCCCACACTTATTGTCTCTATAACATGACAACAGAATTTTCCTACAACATTATACTTGTTTTTCCCCACATAAATAAATGAAAAACTATGTTAAAAGAACTAGGTGTGAAAAAAATAAATCAATCCTCCCCGTTATCACACAAGTGTTAAAGGGACTACACTCATTCAATTGCCCACCAGAATAACTATCTACAACAGGGCTTTTTTACCCTTATAACCCTTTAGGTATAATTAATTACCAAATTGATCTTCATTATAAACTATTTCAAAAATTTAACCTACCCAAAAAACATAAAACCAATCTGCGCATGTTTGACCGTTGACCACCAAGTCTACCCGGGTACACCCCTCCCTACTCGGGTATTTTTTGAAATTTTTTGCCTACCCGGGTAGGGAGGGGTGTACCCGGATATATTTCTTGACATCTGAAAAATTGCTTGAATTATTTACCCGAATAGAAAGGGGTGTACTCGGGTAAATTCTTACTTCAAAGTAAAATCCTCTGGTTTGTAAATGCCCTCCCTCTTTTTAGGGTTTCCATTAGGCTTTTCCTTTGGGACTACACCCTCAGGATCAAAACCAAGTCCAGAAGCATTACTCTCTTTTTTAACCAATAATGAACGACTCCCATTAATTGTCGTTTTAAGCTTCTTGTAATCAAAATCATTGAAACCTAAGCCACCCGATTATGTTTCCGCCTTCATTTCAGCAGAATGTGGAAAACAAAAGAGAACTTTTTGAGCCACATTTATTTCTTTTCCCCTGTTTTACAAATCTCGTTCTAATATCTTCTAAATTAATATCATCTTCAAACCCGAAGCGTTTGCTATCTTTTTTGATTCGTCCATTACTTTTCCATGTATCAAGAACCGAGTCACTGAACCTGGAAGGAAGCATCTGAGCTCGACCTCTCGACGACCGCAACAATGGAGGTCGAACCCATTCTGATTCTGAGGCCAACTCTAGTGTTTTTCTACTTGCACCATTCAACTCCATAGAATTTGAATGGCCATGGGAATGGACCACACCACCCCAATTCCATCCTTCACTGGACCTAGACCCAGAACCACAGCTCAAGTCTTCATTCATCATCCGCTACAAGAATTTACCCGGATACATCCCTCTCTACCCGGGTAAATAATTCAAGCAATTTCTAAGATGTCAAGAAATATACCTGGATACACCCCTTCCTGCCCGGGTAGGCAAATATTTTCAAAAAATACCCGGGTAGGGAGAGGTGTACCCAGATAAGCTTGGTGGTCAACGGTCAAACAGGAACAAATTGGTGTTATGTTTTTTGGAAGGTTATTTTTTAAATAGTTTATAATAAAGGTCAATTTGATAATTAATTATACCTAAAGGGTTAAAGGGTAAAAAAAAACCCTACAACAGCTCGTCAAATGTGAAAGCAAAATTTTAAAAACAACTTCCAGAGCTTGGAGAATTAATGAGATTTTCGCAAAAGATGAACTGCAAGCTATTCTTCATGTGCTTATCTCAACTTAGCAGTCCAATCCATCTTAACATTGGAGTTACTTTCTTTGACCTTCGTCCAGGAAACCCTCCATGTTTTAAGCAAACTTTGCCCGCTGTAAACCGCAAAAATCAGATGACATCAGAGATAGTAGTCAAACTATGATACTGCAATAGTAAATTAGTTTTCCACGTAAACAACAAAAAATGAACTTCAAGTTCTACAAAAATGCTATAGTAGAAAACAAAATAGTAATAGTTTACTTTGACGAATAAATGGGGGTTCCCAAACTAGAAGAATGAGTAACATTTGACACATCCTGCGATGATGAAAGCGATGCCTCCTTCTACAAAACCTTTGACACCCTTTATGTTGTTTTTTTTCCTCGAGAATGGGAACGAATAGAAAAAGATGTGAAGGACTAATGGGAAAGAGAAAAGGACAAATTGAAATTAGGGTTCATCTCACTTAAGATCATGAGATGGGAATGAAGGCCACACGCTATAGAAAAAGAGTGGGGAATGGTAGGCCTTTGAGACATATGCAGAAAACTATCACTGTTGTTTTGGTTTGGAGAAAGGCATAGGCAATGCGTCGGTGAAAAACTCACATCACGCAAACACAAATATCATAATGAATAAATCAGAGCTTATTAGCTTGTCTCAAAGAGAGAGCGGGAAAGGAAGTGAAAGAGAGAAGGAGGGAAATGATAAAAAAATGATTATTATGTATAAAAACAATTTTCAAATAGAAAATAATAAATTATGATTAATTTTTTTTTACAAATTTAATTTTGTGCTAAAAATCATTTAATTAGAAAATAATAAATATAATAAAGTGATTCATATATAAAAACAAAAAAAATGAAAAAAAACGTACAATAAGAAAAGAAAAAGAATAATTTAATACCCACAATTGCAAAAATTATAATATTTAAATTTGATTTATTATTTATACGTTTTTCGACGGAATTATTTTTTGTCAAAAATTTTCAACGATAAACAAATTTCGTCAAAAATTTCATACATATAATTTCTTTTTTATAATAGTTTTTGACGAAAAATGAATTCCGTCAAAAACTTAATATTATAAATTTTAATTTTTTATTTTTTTATAAGGGGTTTAGACGAAATTATTTTCCCTTCAAAAAATGAATTTCGTCAAAAACTTCATAAATATAACTTCTTTTTTAATTTATTTTTATAAGATTTTGACAAAATTATATTTCTGTAAGAAATTTTGATCGGAAAAAGAATTTCGTCGAAAACTTTATAAATATAATTTCTTTTACATATATTTTTTTTAAAAATTTTGACGAAATCCATTTTTTGTCAAAAAAATTTGACGGATTATAATTTTCGTCGATAATTTTTGACAGAATACAATTTTAGTTGAAAACTTCGACGGAATACGTTTTTCGTCGAAATTGTTGTTAATTTTGACAGAATATTTTTTGTCGAAAATTTCCGTTAAAAATTGAGACTTTCCTAGTAGTGTTGGTGTCAAAAAATATATCAATTTTTTTTTTGGAAATATTTCAATCGATTTATCGCTTTGCGACTAGTCTGATACGGAGCGGGTCTCGATATTAAGGCTTTATATTCCTCTAAAAGACGATATTAAGAAAGATCGAATACATACTAGCTTACACTCTCACCTGCTCAGTTTCCTGACACTGAGCTACCATCATTTGGTTATATTTAGGCTCATTAATACTTTTAGCACAGTAGGTGCTCAAATTTATGATTTTACACTAAAATAGGTGATAAATTTTATCAATTTTTTAACAAAAAACTATTTATGCAGTTAATGCAGATAAGTTATCTGCATTAATTCCAAAACGAAGTCGTTTAAAAAATTATAATTATAAAGACTATAATAACCCTGAAATAAATTAAAATTACAAAAATACCATGATTTTTGTCCCAAAACGACGTCGTGTTGGGCTTACTGCAGATAAGTTATCTGCAGTAACTACAGAGAAAGCAAACCCATTTTTTAATTAATACTTTTAGCAATTTGGGATAAATTTTTTAATTAATACTTTTACCATCATGTGACTGCATTCAATTGAAGAATCAGTTTTTTTTCCCCTTCATCAGTAGAATTCCATTTAGGCTCACTACCTTCAAGAACGTTATAATTTCATTAATTCTATGGTTACATTTTGAGTAAATTATGATTTTACCCCAAAATAGGTGCTCAAATTTATCAATTTTTTAATTAATACTTTTACTAATTTGGGTTAAATTTTTTAATTAATAATTTTACCACGTGACTGCATTCAATTGAAGAATCGTTTTTTTTCTTCATCAGCAGAATTCCATTTAGGCTCATTACCTTCAAGAGCGTTATAATTTCATTAATTCCATGATTACATTTTGAGTAAATTATGATTTTACGCCAAAATAGGTGCTCAAATTTACCAATTTGGGATAAATTTTTTAATTAATACTTTTACCACGTGACTGTATTCAATTGAAGAATCAGTTTTTTCTTCTTCATCAGTTGAATTCCATTCTGGCTAATAGAGCGTTATAATTTCATTAATTCCATGATTACACTTTGAGTAAATTATGATTTTACACCAAAATAGATGCTCAAATTTATCAATTTTTTAATTTACTTTTACCAGGTGACTGCATTCAATTGAAGAATCAGTTTTTTTTCTTCTTCATCAGTAGAATTCCATTTAGGCTCATTACATTCGAGAGCGTTATAATTTCATGGTTACATTTTGAGTAAATTATGATTTTACACCAAAACAGGTGCTCAAATTTATCAATTTTTTAAATAATACTTTTACCAATTTGGGATCAATTTTTTAATTAATACTTTTACCACGTAACTGCGTTCAATTGAAGATTTTTTTTTTTCTTCATCAGTAGAATTCAATTTAGGCTCATTATTCATTACCTTAAGAGCGTTATACTTTCATTAATTCCATGTTACATTTTGAGAAAATTGTGATTTTACACCAAAATAGGTGCTCAAATTTAACATGCGGTGTCATTTACTACCCTTCTCTTTGCAGTTATAAATATGAATCCTTGATCATACCGGTGTTTAATTAACACAGAAGTTCTATAGAATCTTCATTGGAGAGAGCAGAAAAATCGGAAGATCGAAGAAAGCGTTATGGCTAAAATTGTGGGTCTTGTTTATGCCTTTCTTATCATCTTTGTCATGGATTTTGCGTTACAGGTTGCCTATGTGAGTTTTCTTTCCACTCTCTTCCCTCATGCTTGCCATTCCCTATAATATATATATTATTTTTAGAGATGTTATATTGAACCAAAAAATTAAGAAAAGGAAAATTGGGAGGAAGAACTTCAGCCATAAGCTCTGTCCTGATGACTATAAGTCTATAACCAAGGACCAAGGCCCAGGGTTACTATTATATTTATAACTGACTTAAGCTCAATAAAAAAAAATTCTAATAAATAAAAAAAAAATTAGATTTTAGTGTAATTAAGAAGTGGCTTTATTTTTTTTTCTTTTGGCTCGACTCAAATATGAGCGGTTGATCAATATAATATAGTTTTGAAAAATTATTAAAATAATATGGTTTGAAAAATATTTACTAATATAACATAGTTTGATATTTTTATCACTTGTAATCACGTGAGCTCATATATATGACACTAGTCATCATCTAATACTCATTTTTAATACACATGTCACATTTGTGAAGCTGCATAATAAAAAATATCAAAGTATATTCGATAAATAATTTTTAAACTATATTATTTTAATTAAAACTTTATTATATTGGTCCCTCAAATGAGCTAACTTCCTTGATAGTGGCCCTTGCAAGAGAAGAGAGTTAATTATTATTATTATTATTATGTGAAATATTCAACTTGATGAATTATTTGAGAGCTTTACTTAAAAACTAGCAGTCTCACTTTTGCGTGTTGCACATATAATTTTTATTTGACATAATGTTTGAATAATCTACTTAATTAAGTTTATACGAAAGTATATATATGTGGGAATACTTATTTTTCCCCCTTGATTTATTTTGACGTTTATTTTAATTCTTTTCTCTTTTGATTTTGTTTTTATAAAAATAAAAATCCACAGGCGGGTGGAGAAGGATCACTTCGTCCGAAAGGTACTAGTTCTGCGATATATTAATAAACTATAACTTTTTATCACTTAAATACAAGAAAAGTGCGTGGAAAAAAATATGACACTGATAACTTAGATCTTGGTTACGTTATGCAGAATGCGGGAATGCGTGTGCTTATCGTTGTTCAAAGACTCATCACAAGAAGCCATGTTTGTTTTTCTGCAACAAGTGCTGCCAGAAATGTTTGTGTGTCCCATCGGGAACCTATGCTCACAAGGATGAATGTCCTTGCTATAACAACTGGCAAACCAAGGAAGGAAAGCCCAAGTGTCCTTAATCATTTTGTCACAATTAAAAATAATAATTTTGACAAAATAAAATTTAGACACAAATAATATATCATTAGTGATAAATTATATATTATTCATCACTAAATTTTTGTCACAAATAATCATATTTAATTTCTTAGTGGCTTCCTTCTTAATATTGTAACTCTTAATACATTAATTATCTAGAGGAAGGATTAGTCCACATTCTGGTTGGTCACGGTGTAGTCGCTCCTCCAGCAAAAGCAATAATTTGATTTTGTATGGTGTTTGGATTAAAGCATGATCCACAGGGCTGCAATTCAATCCATTTGAACATACATATATAGTTAAATTTTTGCTAGTAGTGCCTGGCTAGCTAGCCTCACATGTAACCTCTACAATTATCATATTCACCATATTGCTTTCCCCTATGACTACTCACAACTTATCTTCCCCCTAATTTTAGCTTCAGTTTGATGACTTTTAAATAACTAAACTAAATGAGATTTAAGGATATTATATTTTTAAGTATCATAATTGAACGGGCACTAATTTTTTCATACTCATTTCCCTTATTTTTTTTAATTCTTTTAAACCTTTTTTAATTTATTTTTAAAAAATGTTTACCAGGTCAACTAAATCTTAATTGTTCCTTCACCTTAGCATTTTACTTATGAATCACTTGTGGTTGAGTCCCTTACCTTCCTTAACAATTTAAACTTTTTTAGCTTCAGTTTCATGCCTCGATCGTGACCAACCAAAATAAATGGGCTGTAGGTTTTTTTTTTACCACAATTAAATGGGCACAAATATTATTTGTATGTATATGGTTAGTAAAAATTGTTTTTTAACTCTATGAAAGCATTATGTTGGCCATGTAATTTTATTTACAAGCAATGGTGTGATGCTCAACATCATTTGATAAACTATTTGACTATCAAGTTTACTACACAACTTGTAGAAATAATATGGAGCAATCTCCTGCATTTATTTGAACGACAACATATTAGGCCCGTGCTTGTAAATATAATGTAATCAAAATACCAGGTGCTCAGCCTACAAAAAATCAATAATAAGCTACTCGCTTTTACACAAGTCATGGTACACCAAGGCTAACACTTGTTATTGTTAGCTAACAACGTGTTGTATAAAAAAATTCCCGACACAAATTTTGTAAGGCAAAATAAAATCATTAAAGTAGCATTCACTTAATGACTGTTTGGAGCTGAAATAATTTTCTTCAAGGTATCAAAATTTATGATCAAGTGGTCAAAAGTTTGAAACTTACTGCCATAATCTTTCCCCCTATTATCACTGTGATAGGAGCTCCTTAGTTGTTTGTTACCCCGAAAGAGTAAATTTGATGACTTATTTGATGCATTTGCTTTGAAATTTAGTCTCACTTATCCGCGGTCGGAGATATAACTTTTATCTAACAAATGAAGTCTCACTTATACTTGTTGCAGACATAATTTTATGGGTTCTTCGTTTCTGTTGTAACTGCAGATGTGAAAAATTGCAGCAAACCTATTAACACTAAGATATGAAGTCGTATCCTAAAATAATTTTTTCTTCCCAGAATATGGAACCGTATCTTAGTAAAAATAAGTGTTGCTGCAAATTTTCTAATTTACAGCTATAGAAGAGCTATTAAAACCTAATTTGCAGCAAGGTGTGTTTCAAAATATCAGTTACATTTATAAAATGTTGACGTGATCTTTGATATGAAACTCATAAAAAGTTTTTCTTAATTATAAAGTATTATTATATGATTCTCATCAGAGTACAGAGTACATCGCTAAAGTAGTGCAACTCTTATACATTAACTAGAGGAAAGATAAGCCACGATCGATCCATTGATAAATCCTTATTTTTTTATTTTATTTTTGGTATGGAGGCTAGGAGATGTCTAGTCCATCTTAGGTAATGTCTGGCCTAACGCACGAGCATCTTGACTAGTTCGAGTTGTTCATTGTTGTACTTGCTTCTCCATCAGTCCTAAACATTATAAAAAAAAAAAAATCAAATTATCAAGAAGTATATAGTAACATATACTAAAATCAACAAAATATTAAAGTTAGATAAATAAAATTAAGGAAGAGGCTATATATACCTTAGAGAACCTGGGTACCTGCAAGCTCCAAAGCCTACAAAGACAATAAAAAATAAAGAAGATGAGATCACAACATTGATACACAATTAATTAATGTTCTTAATTAAATCAACAATATATATAAATTAATATATAGAAAATTAAGAAGATGGGGTAAGGTCATATATACTGGGATCGTTTATGGTAATGGTGGCAGTGCCACCAAAATCACAAGTGCTAGGGACTTTGCCATGGCGCTGATAGTAGCTGTCGTAGGCATAGGAAGCATGATTTTGAATGGTGTTTGGATTAAAGCATGATCCTCCTGGCCTAATAGGACCGCAATCAGCACCACTTGCACATGCATAATTCATTCCTTCCTGCAGGTTCTGATAGCTAGCCCCGCTCCTCACCACACACCAAGGTCCAGCTTCAACAGTTATCACAATATTCACTATCATGGCTGTCAATAACAGTAGACAAACCAGCTTTGGTGATGCTGCCATATTGAACAAAGTTTGTTATATTCTGAGATAGATATATGGGATATTGTTGTTTTGGTTAACTAGTAAAGAAGGTCGACACACACTGATAGGAAAAAAGTTCACAGACATAGGAATTTATAGTGAATGCGAGAGCATGGAATAGAAAGCATTTTCTTTTTATTTTATGTTATTTTTCCCTCCTACCAAATTCCTCTTTGACTACTCACAACGTGGCTTCCCCTAATTAATCTTTAGAATCTTGACTTTTGAAATAACAAAATAAATGAGGTCAAAGAACATTATCTTTTTAGTATTACAATTGAATGGGCACTAATTTATCTATACTCAAGTTCACTTATAATAATCTTTTTTTTTTAACTCTTTTATGGTCAACTTTTTTGCTTATTTATGGTCAACTTTTTTGCTTTTTTATAATATTCACGTGGTCAACTAAATCTTAATTGTTCCAATTAGCCACTCGGCATTTTGTTTTTGGTAAGCTAGCCACTTAGCATTTTACCTATGAAACAAAATAGGTAAGCTAAAGGATTATGTTTTTGGTAAGCTAGCCACTTAGCAGGGAAAAAATATCTAATATTACTTTAGACAATTTTGCACTAATGTTCACCTAAAGGATTATGTTTTTGGTAAGCTAGCTACTTAGCAGGGAAAAAATATCTAATATTACTTTAGACAATTTTGCCTAATGTTCACCTAAACGACGTCGTTTTGGGTTGAAAAATTAAAATGATAAAAATTATTATAACCCTGAAATAAATTAAAATTACAAATACATCATGATTTTCGTCCCAAAACGCCGTCGATTCTGTGAACATTAGACAAAGTTATCTAAAATAACTTTAGAAAAAATAAACCCTTATTTTTGTTAACGATTGCATCTCAAAATTATTGACTTTTTATCAACAATATAATGTTTATTCTTTATTTGTCAATTTTAACACAAAGAACTCGTGGAAATTTTTAATTAAAATTGTTGTATAAATGAGTTATGAATAAGAAGTTGGAATAGTCGCGTCTCTTCGCTTGCGAATAGTCGCGTCTCTCCGCTTGCAAAGAGTGGCGCCTCTTTGCTTGCAAACGGTCGTGACTGTTCATTTCTAAATAGTCATGTATTTTTGTCTTGTGACCATTCATCTCTATAAATCTCACTCTTCCATAAACTCAAACTAGAGATTTTTCCTGACTCCTTACCAAACTCTGCCAAAATTAATCCTCCATAATGCCTTGGTCTGCGATTGATCACTGTTTGTTGTGCCCGTCGATACTATTTCCTCTAGTAGTGCCACCATCGAAACACAGGTAACCCGTTTTATTCTGGGAGATAATTATTCACGAACCTTAAGCACTGTTGAGAGGGCAAAATTATTTTAAGGAAATAGTATTTAAAGGCACTAGTCATGTTGGCATTTATAAGTATAGATGTACTCAAATTACCTCGAGCTATAGAATCTTCCCTTCGTTTTAGCTCCTATTATATATGCAATCGCCAGGCTAACTCATAGCATTGTCTATAAAACATTATAAAATCTAGACCTTAATAGCTTTTACTTCTTTCTCAGGTACATCAGATCATACAAACCAACTAACATCAATGTGATATAATGTACGTACTAGAACCCGAAATCCTTATTTATCTCTTTGACTCTCATTATCTCTGCTTATATATTGTCATCTTTTATTTTATTTTTTCCTTTCAGATAGAAGCAGGAACATAATCCTTTTGAAACAAAATTAAAAGTTTTGGATTATTTATAGGAGTTATACTTCTCATTCAACTGCAAAAAAAAACTCATTCCCGTTGACCCATCGATTTTTGCGCTTTTATTTTTATTTTCTTTTTCTTTTTTTTAATCTATGGGACCCACTCAAACTGAGTCTGCCCGAGAATTATAAATCATTATTTATATATAACATTTAAATTACATACAAATAGGCCTGAACTTTTGAAAAAATATTCTTTAATTTAGTCATCACTCAGCAATGTAGCCTATATATATTGTAGGAAAGTAGCCTATATATAATTAACAACAAATATAGAAATGGTATTAATACGAAAAGACGGTTGCATTTTTTTCGACATAGACATGGTAGAAATTACTTACACAGAAAATGTCACTTAGAAACAGGCTTTTATTACTCTTGGAACCAGAACTGCAATATTAATAAGAAAAACTATGAAACAGAACTCACAATGGTTTACGCTATGAAATGGTTGAAGAAGCTTTTGCTTAAAGCATCTCCACAACATCTCATATATTACCAGTTCCTTAAAAAAAATGCCTTGGAAGTCAACCATATCTAGCATATCAGCAAATTCCTTGAAAGCACCAATTTACTACTTTATTGGTTAATTAGCATATCATAATTCACTCGTATAAGTGAATAAAAAGTTAAATAGTCTCAATACATTTCTCAAGTAAAGAACGAATAA